GAACCCCACCCACCCACACACACACCCCCACCCACCCACACGGCCACCGTGAACCCCACCCACCCACCCACACACAGACACCCACCCACCCACACGGCCACCGTGAACCCCACCCACCCACCCACACACAGACACCCACCCACCCACAGGGCCATCGTGAACCCCACCCACCCACACACAGACACCCACCCACCCACAGGGTCATCGTGAACCCCACCCACCCACCCACACACAGACACCCACCCACCCACAGGGCCATCGTGAACCCCACCCACCCACACACAGACACCCACCCACCCACAGGGTCATCGACAACCCCACCCACCCACCCACAGACACCCACCCACCCACAGGGTCATCGTGAACCCCACCCACCCACCCACAGACACCCACCCACCCACACGGCCATCGTGAACCTACTGATCCGGCCATTGTGGACCTGTAGGTTGACTTTGATGCCCCACTGGGATACAAAGAGCCAGAGAGAGTGGCGAGACAGGAGACTACGGAGGTGAGACTCACACACACACACACAGACTCACACACACAGACTCACACACACACACAGACTCACACACACTCACACACAGACTCACACACACACACAGACTCACACACACACACAGACTCACACACACAGACTCACACACACACACAGACTCACACACACACACAGACTCACACACACACAGACTCACACACACACAGACTCACACACACACACATACAGACTCACACACACACACAGACTCACACACACACAGACTCACACACAGACTCACACTCACACAGACACAGACTCACACACAGACTCACACACACACACAGACTCACACAACAACAACCGCCATTCGCCACTAAGTGGTGGTGACGTCACCACGACGCTTGTACCAGGCTATGTGCACCCTGAGGCCACGTGAAGTGTCGAACGCCCGCTGGCAGGAGGTCACGGGGCAGACCCAGCAGGTGCCACGGGTCGACTGACTGAGATGACTGAGATGACTGGCTGATGCACCACCTGTGCCCCCTACTGTGCCAACCTGCTGTGCTTTAGCCACCCGGCGCTCCGCTCGTTGTTGTGAGCGTCGCTCCTCCGCCCTCCGTTGTTGTTGGAGGGCGACTGCCTCCAACTGCCCAGTAGCGTCCTTCACGAGCCTCCTCCACAGAGGCCGATCTTGACACCGCTGGTACCGGTCATCGGCAAGTCCACTCAGCTCCACGTCCTCCTGTACCACATCACTCCATCTCTTCTCTAGCCCGTGCCGCGCCCGTTTAGCCCCCTCGATCCGGCCCAACAAAAGCTGTTTCGGCATGCGGTGGCTGGGCATGCGGGCTACATGACCCAGCCATCGCAGCCTTGCCCGCCGGAGGAGCTCACCGATGGGACTTTGTCCAGATCTGGTGATGGCGGTGATGGTGGTGGTTGTTGTATATGTAGGTTATGAAAATTTGTTGAAAATAATGTAAATTAAAATAAGTAACGTAGAATTATGCAAATTAGTGTAATTATGCGCGTAAATTATGCTAATTCGAGATATTGCCGTGTTAATTTATGCGAGCGGGTGTGGTTATGATAACGCAGTTCGTTATGATCATTTAGGGTCCATCCTCAGTGACGAGGGTTGGTTATTAATTGGAACAACGCAATTAACGGTACGCAGTGATGCAGGCGTTGTGAGCGTGAATGAGAGAGCACAGCTTAGTAGTTTAACTCCTCCGTATTATCAACAAGGACACGATTGATCTCCGATTTAACGTTCACCGATCATTATGAGACCTCCTTTGCCAGTAAACAAGATATAGGAATAGGTTTTTACCCTTTTAACTGGCACAAAAACTGACGCCTTTATTCAAGGCATCGTGTCTGCAATAACCACAACACAAGCAGTCAAAATGCAAACAAAAAGAGACAACTCTGATAATAATATTGGCACTGTCCTTGAATTTGATTGGTCCAACACCAGTGGAGACTAAAGGGCTCTAAGAAAAGCTGTCTCTGGTGTGGACCAATCAAATTCAAGGACAGTGCCAATAATATTATTATCAGAGTTGTCTCTTTTTGTTTGCATTTTGACTGCTTGTGTTGTGGTTATTGCAAACACGATGCCTTGAATAAAGGTGTCAGTTTTTGTGCCAGTTAAAAAGGGTAAAAACCTAATGCTATATCTTGTTACTGGCAAAGGAGGTCTCATAATGTAAATACTCTGATAGTGCGCTGTTTTTGAGTTGTACGCCTTTTGGCGTCTTCTGGTCCAACACCAGCGGAGAGACTAAAGGGCTCTAAGAAAAGCCGTCTCGGGTGTGGACCAATCAAATTCAAGGACAGTGCATAATATTATTATTTCGATTTAAAGCTTTTGTGACTGCAATGATTCATCTTCTTTGGTTCTTTCGGTAAAGTCACAACTCAAAAGAACCAAAGAAGAATATTATTATTATCAGAGTTGTCTCTTTTTGTTTGCATTTTGACTGCTTGTGTTGTGGTTATTGCAAACACGATGCCTTCTTGAATAAAAGGTGTCAGTTTTTGTGCCAGTTAAAAAGGGTAAAAACCTATTCCTATGTTCACCGATCATGTATGGATTACGTGCTTAGTGATGCTGATGATAGGTCCCCCAGGGTTCAGATCTCAATCGCAGATCACTTATCACGGAAACAATCGCACGCAACCGTTACGCTTTAATCAATCTTATTTGCTAGCTGAGCTTAAATTTTTTTTTTGAACGATCACGACGTTTCGGCCACAACACACGCGGCCTTCATCAGGCGAAGGGATCAGGCCGTCTCGAGGGCAGCGCCGGAGTGAACGCACAGAGCCACGCTCAGACCGCGGATCTTTTAAGCTTGTGTTAGAGGAAACAAGGTGCCTCGACAAAGGAATTAGCGTGAAGAATTAGCATTTGATTGGCCGCTTGTGCTGTGGCCGAAACGTCGTGATTTTCCTTGTTTTATCTTTTTTTTTTTACCCGCCACGCGACTTTACCGAATAGAACCAAAGATTAAAGATCCTTGCAGTCACGAATGAGTAAGCCCAGCGTCTCGATGAGCTGTGACTTCTCGTCCCCGTTGCCCGCTGAAAGCTCTAACGGATAGGCGAAAGCCTTCCACGTAGAGGCTATCAATTCTAGATTTTATTTATTTTCACCCACCACGTGACTTTACCGAATAGAACCACAAAGAGTATGGATCCTTGCAGTCACGAATGAGGAAGGCCAGCGTCTCGATGAGTGGCGACTTCTCGCCCCCGTTGCCCGCTGAAAGCTCTAACGGAGAGGCGAAAGCCTTCCACGTAGAGGCTATCAATTCTAGATTTTATTTATTTTTTACCCACCGCGTGACTTTACCCGAATAGAACCACAAAGAGTATGGATCCTTGCAGTCACGAATGAGTAAGCCCAGCGTCTCGATGAGTGGCGACTTCTCGCCCCCGTTGCCTGCTGAAAGCTCTAACGGAGAGGTGAAAACCCTTACACGTAGAGGCTATCAATTCTAGATTTTACTTTTTTTACCTACTACGTGACTTTACCGAATAGAACACCAAAGAGTATGGATCCTTGCAGTCACGAATGAGTAAGCCCAGCGTCTCAATGAGCTGTGACTTCTCGCCCCCGTTGCCTGTTGAAAGCTCTAACGGACAGGTGAAAACCCTCCCCGTAGAGGCTATCAATTCTAGATTTTATTTATTTTTACCCACCACGTGACTTTACCGAATAGAACCACAAAGAGTATGGATCCTTGCAGTCACGAATGAGGAAGGCCAGCGTCTCGATGAGTGGCGACTTCTCGCCCCCGTTGCCCGCTGAAAGCTCTAACGGATAGGCGAAAGCCCTCCCCGTAGAGGCTATCAATTCTAGATTTTATTTATTTTCACCCACCACGTGACTTTACCGAATAGAACCACAAAGAGTAAAGATCCTTGCAGTCACGAATGAGGAAGGCCAGCGTCTCGATGAGCTGTGACTTCTCGTCCCCGTTGCCCGCTGAAAGCTCTAACGGATAGGCGAAAGCCTTCCACGTAGAGGCTATCAATTCTAGATTTTACTTTTTTTACCTACCGCGTGACTTTACCGCATAGAACCAAAGATTAAAGATTCTTGCAGTCACGAATGAGGAAGGCCGAGAGTGAGGCTCAGAGTGAGGCTGAGAGTGAGGCTGAGAGTGAGGGCTGAGAGTGTGGGAGGAGGGAGGAGGAGGAGGAGGAGGGGGAGAATACGAGCGGCTTCAGTGCCCTTGCCGCGGCGTCTCTCCCGCTCAGCGTCGGTCCGTGGTGCCTGTGGGCTCTTTCCGCTGCTGGAGCTATATCTGACGGTAGGTCACGCTTTCCCCCTGCTGCGCGATGGGGTTGAGACGAGTCTTCCTAGGCTAGTCGCTCGCTCTCTGTCTCTCTCTCTCTCTCTGTCGAGGCGTCCGAGCGAACCCGGCGCTGGTCCGCCGGCTCTCTGACAGCAGGTTTCTCTCCACCGCTGGATGACTCAAGTTGTGCTTGCTCGCTCCCTCGCTGGCTGGCTGGCTGGCTTGCCGAAATCGTTGTCGGCCGGCCTGCCAAGCCTTTTCCCGCTGCCGGATGGCTGCTGGCACTTGATGTCGGAACGAAGTCGCGAGTGATACGTTGTTCCCCGCCTTGGGTTCGCGCCTGTTGATACATCGCTACTCGGCGAGGATCTCGCTTGCGAGGATCTCGCGACTCGGCGAGGATCTCGCTTGCGAGGATCTCGCGACTCGGCGAGGATCTCGCTACTCGGCGAGGATCTCGCTACTGGGCGAGGATCTCGCTACTCGGCGAGGATCTCGCTACTGGGCGAGGATCTCGCGACTCGGCGAGGATCTCGCTACTGGGCGAGGATCTCGCTACTGGGCGAGGATCTCGCTTGCGAGGATCTCGCTACTGGGCGAGGATCTCGCTACTGGGCGAGGATCTCGCTACTGGGGGAGGATCTCGCTACTGGGCGAGGATCTCGCTACTGGGCGAGGATCTCGCGACTCGGCGAGGATCTCGCTAC